TGTGGCTCAAAGTGATAGAGCACTAGCCTAGAGCTGAAGAGTTGAGTGACAGTGCCCAAGGGCAGAGTTCAAGTCCCAGGACCGACAAAAAAAAAAAAAGATTGAAAACCACTTGTCTAGCCAGGTGTAGTGGATCAAGCCTGTACTACTAGCTACTTAAGAAGCAAACCTGGTTTTGGGGGACGGTGACTCAAGGCCAGCTCAGACAATAGATTTCTTCTAGCCAATGGCTGGACATAATCCTTACACATAATTATTATTCCACCTACGGGAGAAACACATAGCTGAGCATAGTGGTGCATACCTGTTATGCAAAAGGCACATAGAAGGATCACAGCCCAGGCTAAGCCCAGGCATAAAGCAAGACCTCACATCTAAACTAGCTATTCAGGAGGCTGAGATCTGAGGATCAGGTTGAAAGCCAGCTCAGGCAAAAAGCCAGAAGCAGTGTGGTTCAAGTGGTAGAGCACCAACAAGCTAAGGGACAGTGCCCAACTCCTGGGTTCTAGCTCCTGTGTACTGGCAGTAAATAACCAACACAGAAACAAGGTTGGAGGTGTGAGTCAAATGAGTACCTGACTAGCAAGCATGAATTCCTCAATTCAATCCCCAGTACCACCAAAAAAAAAAAATATTACAGAGAAGAAAAGAAAGAAAAATCACTGACTAAGTACAATCATTTTCTTATTGTTTCTCATGTATTTTCTGGTCTCATTGAACTATGACAATAACTGACTTCTGACTTTTTCTCCTCTTTCCATTAATACACCATTTCTTCTCCCCCAAGATTTTAAAACTACATTGATTTTGTGACGAAACCTTTAGAATCTCTGAGAGGAAGAGAAAGGGAAAGATGATTCCAACAGCTCTCAGTGGAGAACAAAGAAATGTCCAGTCTTCCCATCCACTGCACATGAGCAGTCACTCCTGTGGCAAGAAGGGTGGATGGGTGACAGGAGGTAATGAGGCATTGTTCATAGAAACCCCTCCCCTTGTATCTATGTAGGAAATTGGAAACCAACAACCACCAAGCTATGTTCAGCCTAAAGATGTGTTTTGTTTGGCCCATTAAGTGCTTTTAGGATGTTGGCAAGTAATGCAGATTTTTTTCTCAAAATTGGAACTTACACAAATATTTGAACTTATGGTTTCTATTTAAAAGATCATAACATCTGGCAATGCAGAGTTGTATTACTGTAAGGTTTTGCTTCTGGCCCCAATACTAAATCACCTGAATAAACACTATTTTCCCATATTCTGTGGGTTAGCTGAGCAGAACTGCTCCGGGCCAACTTAGCTGATCCCAATAGTTGTGGGAGATTCTGAAAGACTCTGTGGATGGTCCAGGAATCTTCTTTATGTGTCTTGGTCATGTGTATCCCAAATCAAGTCAAGAGCCAGCCCGCTGCCAGTAGCTCATGCCAAGATGCTGGCTACTCAGGAAGGTAAGATCTGAGGATTGAGGTTCAATGCTCTCTCAAGCAGGATAGTCCACGAGACTCTAATCTCCAATTAACTAGCAAAAATCCAAAAGTGGAGCTGTGCTTTAAGGGGTAGAAAAGCTAAAAGACAGTGCCTACACCCAGAGTTCAAGCCTTAGTACCAGAAAGAAAGAAAAACAAACAAACAAAAAACCTCTGCTGTGACTCATCTGCCAATGAACCATTGGCCAAAACAAATCTCATGGCCAGGCCTGGATTCAAGGGCTGGACAAACAGAACCCACCTCTTAATGAAAGTTGCAATGCCATGTTGTAAAGGAGTCCTGTATTAGGGGATGGGAAGACTTGGTGGTCATTTTTGTGATCTATAGCAGCCCATTTGATTCCCAGTCAGTTGGAGGTGAATGGTGGTGGTCTTCCTTGAGTACAGAACATGTCCTTCTGGCCATCAAAGGCCCCACTCTCCTCATCATTTCTACCCAGCCCACCCAGTGCAGTGAGTTTTTGTTGTTCCTTGGCCCCTGTGGACATTTCCAAATGGACCACCTAATTTAGTGAACACTGTCCCACAATGCTCTAAGGGACTATTCAGTCAAATCACATATGCAAAAACCCTGCTGTAGCCTTTCTAGTTACTGCCATTTTCTCTTGCCAAGAGTTTCTGTGAAAGTATCTATAAGGCAACACAAAGAGCTGGAAGACAGGTAATCAAAGACCTTTGTGAGGGCTCCAGATGTAGCTCAGTGACAGAGCATTTGTGCAAGGCCCTGTGTGTTGCATCTCCAAGACCACCCACCCACCCACACACACACACACACACACACACACACTGCATAAACAAACTGAAGAATAAGGAACATTCAAATAAAAGGTGACCATATAGATCTATGGAAAAGAAACAGCATAGACCAGGTGCTGGTGGCTCATGCCTATTATCCTACTTAGATGGCTACTATCTAAGGATCTCAATTCGAAGCCAGCCTGGGCAGGGAAGTCTGCGAGGCTCTTATCATCAATTAAACAGCAAAACCTGGAAGTGGAGATGTGGCTCAAATGGTAGAGGATCCGCCTTGAGCAAAAAAGCCAACGCCCTGAGTTCAAGTCCCAGTACCAGCACAAAAGTGTCTCTGCATTTTGAATCTCCCTGTAATCTAAGCTACTGTAACCCAGGTCAGTAAATCAAAGTGAGCCAGGTATGTTCCTAGAAGTTTCTACTATTCTAACCATCACTAAGGCTGAGGATCACTAGCAACTGGTTATTTCTATTTCAAAGCTGAAAGTCTTCAGTTCACCAAAGAAATAGATTCCCTTTTTAATAGTTGCCAAAATAAAAACCCAGTAGACACTTCAAAAAAATCTACTTGATAGGACAAGGTGATAATGAGCACTAAAGCTGAGGAGGCAGTTTCTTATTCTATGACCCAAAGCTAACTTCCTTAATTTTTATTGTATGTATTTTTATTTTTATTTTTGATGCTACTGAATTTTGAACTCAGGGCCTTGTACTTCCTCCATGAATTCAGCCACACCCCAACCCTTTCATTTTAGTTTGTTTTTCATTTAAGGTCTCATTTATTTTACTCAGCCTTAGGCCTTGATCCTCCAACCTCCTCCTACCAAAGTAGCTGGGATTAGAGTCATGAACCACATCACTAGAAACTTTTTTGAGATAGGGTCTCAATAATCTGATCAGCTTCAGATCTTGATCCTCCTTTCCCAAGTAGCTGGGATTCTATAGGTGTGCACCACTATATCTCGTCCCACAAGTTAACTTAAAAAAAAATTAACCCAATCAATTGGCCTATGCTGTGTCTAATTTAATGATTCAATCACTGCTGTCATCTCAGAAAACAAAGAGAGGATTATCTGTTGGTACTAGGCTTCCTGATCTTTTATCCTTGCTCCCTTGGGGTTGGTCTTTGAAAGATACTGAGCCATAGAAGACTTTACTCCAGTAAGTATGCAATTAAACAAAATATCTCACAGGGACCAACCAGGACTCTAGACTATTGTCAGTTTCCTTCCTTCCTCTATTCCTTCCTTCCTTCCTTTCTCCCTCTCTCCTTTCCTCCCTTCCTCTTCTTTTTCCTTTCTTTTTTTGTGCCAGTACTGGCATTAAACTGGCACTCTGTCACTTAAGCCACAGTTGCAGATGAGAATCTTCCTGCCCAGGCTGCTTCAATCCATGCCCCTCAGCTCTCAGCCTCCTGGGTAGCTAGCATTACATGCATGAGCAAACAGCTTCCCTGTATTATTTTTGAAACCATAAATCAGTAGCTTTTTGCATCAGTTATTTAGACAAAAAAAAAAGTGTGAAGTACACCAAGGGATGATAGCAACCATCTCAGGCTAAACTGACTTTCTTGCATTGAACACTCTGGCAATGGCAATCAGGCCTGTCATGTTCCGGATGTTGAGAGGCAAGGGCTGGGAACCAAGAAGCCTTCTCTTCCTTCTTTACCTGCTCCCTTAAGGAAGAGGTGCCATGACAGAGCCCCCTTGGAAGTTGTGGAAGTTTTCCCCCTTCTATGGGAGACCAGCAAGCTCGTGAGGGCTGTCACTGCAGTGGGCAGGACCTATATCCCCGCCCCCCCCCTCGCCCCAGGTGGACACCCCTTCAGCGGGAACCCACTGGAAAGCCTAGTGGCAGTGGTGACAGCCACAAGCCAGAGCTGAAGAAGCCAGCTCAATGACAGGATGGTGGACCAAAACGCTCTCCATTTCCCACCACTTACACAACCTGAGGCAGCCCAGTGCCCACTAACAGACCCACAGAGGCCCCAAGAAGGACAGCCATGACTGGATGACAGGCGCTGCGCTGGGCCTGACGGGCATTGTCACCTATAGCTACACAACACCTCTGAAGTGGCTGTGACTTACGATCCCTGACCTTACAAAGGAAGAACCAGAGGCTCAGGGAGGGGATGCGTCCATCATCCCGTGATTCCTGAGTCAGGAGTACGGGCCTCCCTCTGCTCTCAGCAACAGCAGCACGGCTCCTTGGAAGCTCCCACCTTCCAAAGCAGCTCAGGCTGTCGGAGGGAATCAAACTCGCTGAGAACCACCACCCATGTGCTCTGGCGCCCAGCACTGTTAGACCAGGGCTGTGTAAGGCCCACATCCTGCAGCCTCTTCCCGGGGCGCGTCCCTGCCCTGCGACCCTCGCTTTCCTGCCGCCAGGGAGCGCGGCTGGGGACGCTGAAACCACCGAGCCCCGGGGCTGCTCCTCACTGCGTGGATCCCGGTCCGAGCGCCGAGCCAGGCCGTCGATGCGGGCTCTGTCCCTGCGGATGGGAGACGTTCCCTAGCCACCGGCTTGACAGATCCCCGAGTGACCCCAACGTGGGACTGAGCAACTCCCGAGCACGGGGCTCCCCAGGCTCGGAGGACAGAGTGGACCGGAGGACCTGGTCCCCATTTCCAGCAGCCAGCGGTGGATTTCCGCGGGATCGTTTTTCCGAGGTTTTCTCCGAGGCATGGCGAGAGGGAGGGCAGCTTCGGGGCGAGAGAGGCGGGCGTCGAGGCGCCTTCGGAGCGCCGCGGGCGGCCCCCCACTTACCTCCTGGGAGGGCAGCTCCTCGGGGTACTCCGATTGCGGGCGGTGCGCCCCGGCGGCCGGGCCAGCCCCGGGCATCGCAGCGATGGCACCCCGGGCAGGGATGCGCCAGCGCGCGGACCGCAGAGGCGGACTCTGACCTCGTCCAGCCCGAAGAGGCCCGGGCGGCGCGGGGCCCTTCTCGTGACCGCGGCGAACCGGCCTAGAGCGCCGAGCACAGGCTGCGGCCAGCGGCGGGCTCCCCAACTCTGGCCCCTTTGGCGAGCGCGCGCTCCGCTTGGGGCGGGGAGTCCGGCCGGGGGCGGGGGCGGAACGCGTGGGGAGGATCTGGGGACCCACCCCGTGGCGGGGCAGTGGGGCATCAGAGGCCACCCTGGCCGGAGGTACCAATCGTGCGCCCTGACTGTCACTTGTGCCTCGCTTTCAGATCAGTAGCTTAGGAGGCTCCTGCATAGCTGGGTTGGAGAATCAAAAGAATTTATATATTGCTTACGGGCACCTCCGCTGGGTACCAGAGAGTTTTGTGCCGCCCCCCCCCCCCCCCCGCCCCATGGCCCTATATTGGGCTCTGAATAAATAGGACCCCAGCGGGCAGAGGCCTATGGAGAGAGGGGCATGGATCCTCTTCTCCATTCTTTGGGCAAGGCACACCCTAGTCCCGGAGTGACCTGGAATTCAGGGTTTCCAGAGCCACTGCATTTCCAAGAGAAACTGGAAGTCTGGTTTTCAAGATCCTGTTCTTGTTTTGTTTTTTAATTGTTGATGAGGAATTTAAAATAATAAATATTCTTAGGTGAGCCTTGGTGCTCAGGACAGTGGTCCTGGGCTCCTGTTCCACAGGATCCCCCGCTTCCCCGTCCCCCCCCCCCCACCACCACCCCCAAGCTACAGATGTCTGCCAAGGTACAGGTTAAAGACTATGGTAGGTAGAATTATATCCCTGTCAAAATAGTTATATATCTAATCCCTGGCACTATGAAACTGCTTCCTTACATGCAAAGGAGACAGTGCAGTGTAACTCAGGTTATTAGTTAACCTTAAAACAAAGAGGTCAAGGATTGTGGTAGTGCCTGATGGAAAATAACTTAAAGCAAAGGCACTCACCTTTCCACTGACAGCCATATCTTAGGACTGTTCTTGCTGCCCCTTCCCTTCAACCTAAAAAAAATTATGTCCTAGTGATTTTGGAGAAGAGAGTCTAAGATCAAAGCCACATCTGGCAGACACAGCTGCTATTGAAACCTTGGATCCCTCTACTCAGGATTGCTCTCCCACCACACCTCCATCTCACTCCACTTCAATTTGCTCACCCCTCCCCCTTCACTTTTACTACTTAATATTCAAAGAGACCCTAATTGTAAGAGAGGTATGCCATTTCTTCAGGAAGATCATTCTAGATCACCTAGGTTGGCCCAAAGGAATCACAAGAGTCCTTAACATCAGTAGAGGAAGGTAGAAGTGGAAATGGGAGCTTAAAAGCCCATAAAACTGAATTGGACACTGCTGCCTTGGAGATGAAGGAGATGGCTAAGAATTAAAATTCTGCAACAGCTTGAACTAACTTGAGAGCAAAATGATCCCCTAGAGCTCCAGGAAGAAACATAGCTCTTGCATTTACTGTAAGACCCTGGGCAGAGAATCCAACTTTGTCTGTGGACTTCTGGCACTTGAACTATGTGATAATAAATAGGAGCTGTTTTGATCTCCCAAATCTGTTACGCAGTGATAGATGCTTAATACAGAACATGGGCCTGCATTTCAATGCCAGAACTATGGTAATGAGATGAGATAGGTCTATAATGAGAACAACACATGGTATTCAGTGGTAGGCAGCCAAGAACTGCGTATCCACCCCTTCTGATTGTTTTCACTCAATTCTAATATTACATTCTGCTTCAGCTCCTCCAGGCCAATGGATCACTTCTTTGCTGGAGTCCTGTGTTCTTCATGAACATAACCACATGTGGCTTCAGCTCATTTGTTTGCAGATGCTGTAGGAAAAAAAAGATGAGAGGCCTTCATCTTTGGATCCCTAGCTCCTAGCACAGAACAGGCCTCTAGTAGCCAAAATGGCAAAGCAAAACTTCTTAAAGCTTACTGCCAAAGCTCTGTGTCTACAAGCATCTAAAATAATCATAATTACAATTATTTCCTCTTACAACAATTTGCTGTACAAATTACATAAAGCCCTAGGTATTCTTGAGAAAAGACAAATATTCTTTTTCTATCTGAAGTGGCAGCTTCCAGAATGTTGCATATGGCAGAAACTTTTAAACTAGCCCTTAAAAACATAAAATAAAACGTAGCCAGGTGTTGGTGGTTCATTCCTGTAATCCTAGCTACTCAGAAGCTGAGATCTAAGGATCACCAGTCAGACCAGACAGAAAAATCCTTGAGACTTTTACCTCCAATTAAACAGCAAAAAGCCAGCTGTGGAGCTGTAGCATAAGTGATAGAGTGCCATCTTTGAGCAAAAAAAATCTAAAGGATAGCACCTAGACCCTGAGTTCAAGTCCCAGTACTGACACAAAAAGAAAACAAAAGGGTAAGTATGTTCATTGCACAGACTTGGAATGATAAGTGGAAGATAACACACTTCACTAAACAGCTTTCTCTACAATTATTTTCCTGCATATACATAGTGTACACGTGTACAGTTCTGTGTATATGTTGTGCTGTGTACATGTGGGATGTATAAGCTGTAAAGATGTAGAACATCTTACACCACAGACACTGGTGACCCCTTGCTTGCAGGACACAGCCCTCCCATTCAGCATCCCAGACATAGGCCAAGCTTCCACCAAATCTCTAGGCCAATCCACACAGGGTTCATCCCTGACCCAGTTATCTGTCTAAAAGAAATAAATGGCCTAAGTTGTCTCAGCCTGCCTTTAAAAAAAAAAAAAAAAGCTATGGGTTTGGCAAAGAGATTTCTGCCTCTCTTCCCTTCCCTCTTTCCCTTATGAATATGCATTTATTTTATCTTATCTTAGTATCTTTCAGTAGTTGTGCAAAGGAGTTTCAATTCAACATATCATATGAGCCCCAAAGCATCTTGATCAATGTCACCTCTTCCATCACTCTCCTCCCACCAATCACTGCAACCCCTCTTGCAGCGAACTTTGGGTGAAGATGACTTTGGATGACAGAGAAGAAGCAGAAAGAGGCAGGTCTGTGACGGGCTCTTGGAAAGACTGCTTGATCCCTTCCTCCCCCAAGCCACCTGACCTTTGGACTCAAAATTATGTGAGCAACATTAAATAGCCCAGGAGACAGAATGAGACCATCTGTGTACAGGTGACAGAAAAAGCTCTGCATAAAACTTTTAAAGAGTGCATATACTTTTTAAAATAAATGCACAACATCTTTTCCAGGAACAATGCACAAATAAATTATAGTCAGTGTTTGCACTTAAGAATAGGACATGAAGTAGGGATGTGAAAGGAAAGGAGATTTTTCTTTTTCCTTCTTGTGCTTGTCTGTAAGGATTTATTTTAAATGATATGCTTATCTATATTACTTTTATGGGTTTACGTATAGTCAAAGCAACAGGGATAGAGGAATAGAATTAAATAGTTATATCCTTTCCATGAAACCATGCTTTCTGTGATGGAAAAAGTAATAATAAAAATCTAGGAATAACTGCCTGTTCCAGTCTGCACATACTAATGGGGTGAAAATTTCACCTGAAGGGTTAAAATGAATCAGAGACCCAGAGCAGACTCTTTGAGATCTAGACAGCCCAGAACATCTATAACAACTCTCTAAGATGCTGTAGTAATCAGCTTGCTGTCATAACCAAGTATCAAAGACAGGGTGGCTTAAAAATAACAGAAATGTATTGGCATAAGTCTGTAGTCAAGGTATGGGAACTCAGCTGTTCTCCAGGACTTCCCACTTGGCTTGCAAATGACAGTCTTCTCCCTCTGTCTTCACATGGACTTCCCTCTGTGCTAGCTTGTGTCCCACTTGCTTATTTTAAAGACAGTCATATTAGATTAGAGCCACCCCACAAACCTCATTGACCTTAATTACCATTAAAATGACCCTATCTCCTTATACAGTTGTTTTCTGGGGTACAGTGGCTTAGAGCTTTAGTATTAGTTTTACAGAGAGTATACTTTAGCCCATAGCAAATACTAATTTTCACCCCTCCCCCCCTTCAGAAACCAGGAAAGAGAATTTGAGAAGAAAACTAGCCTTCCCTGGTCATACAGCTTGAAATTGGTGGCACCTGGCTGACAAAGGCAGACCTATTGGCATAGAAGCATTTCCTAGATGGTTTCAATTGAGAAAAGGATGTCTTTATTATTTTTTTATTTTTACTTTTTTTTTTTTTTTTAGCTGTACCGGGATTTGAACTTAGGACTTCATTTCCTGATCCATGCCCTCTAGCTTCTTTTGGTTTGATTAATTTTTATATTAGGTCTCAATTTCTGCCTGGGCTGGTCTAGATTACAATCCCCCTATTTATACTTCCTGCCATAACATGGCAGATGTGCACTACTACAGACAGATTTTTATTGGTTGAGATGGAGTCTTGAGACTTGTTGCCCAAATTGGCCCCAAATCATGAGTCTCTTGATCTCTGCCTCCCAAGAAGGTAGGGTTATAGGTATGAGCCACCATTCCCTGCAGAAGTCTTTCTTTAACCAAGAATTCTGTATAATTCTATTTGCCAATTATCCCCTAGAATTCCATAGGTTTTTGTGGAACTGGGTATTTCCTTAACATCTGAGTGTTTGGTCAGATTCTGCCTTCTCTGGGAGGTAGAGTCTGTCCACCACTGTTTAATTCCTCTGTCTTCCTGCCCACCTCTTCTCTAATCTTTTCCTTCCTTGTAGTGCACTTCCAGCTCTCTACTGTATTATGTGTCTTATCATCTCTTCAAATAATTGTTCATTGTCTACTTACACTCATACATAGAGTATAATCTCTACCAGGATAGAGATTTTTGTTTTATCCATGGGCATTTCCCAAGTACCTAAAACAGTGTCCAGAAGATAGATTTTCTGTAAAGACACTTGCAGAAGTGTTTGGAACAGTTTCCATCCAAGCCTTGAAGAGGACCACAGAACAGAATATGCGTCAGGCTGTGCTTCAAGAGAAAAGATGGCA